AATATTGTAGAAACTTAATTTGCTGTAAAGTTGCTTTGCAATGATTTGTATCGTGAAAAGCGCTGTACAAATAAACTTGACTTGACTTGATATATATATATATATATATGTATAGTACTTGTCAAAGTTTGGAAACATTATTTTTTTTTAATGAAGTTTCTTCTGCTCACCAAGGCTGCATTTATTTAATAAAAAATACAGTAAAAACAGTAAAAATTGTGAAATATTATTACAATTTTAAACAGCTGTCTTCTATGTGAATTTATGTTAAAATATAATTTATTTCTGTGATCAAAGCTGGGTTTTTAGCATCATTACGCCAGTCTTCAGTGTCACGTGATTCAAATATGCTGATTTGCTGCTCAGTTATTAAAAATGTTTATTATTTGTATCAATGTTAAAAACAGTTTTTGCTGTTTAATATTTTGTGTAGACATTTTTTCAGGATTCTTTGATGAATAGAAAGTTCAAATGAACAGCAATGATGCTGAAAATTCGGCTTTGATCACATTAATAAAATATATTTTATTATATATTCACATAGAAAACAGCAATTTTAAATTGTAATAATATTTTTCAATTTTACTGTATTTTTGTAATATTATTTAACAATATTCGTGTTTTTACAGACGTTTTTGTCTTATTGGAGACATTTGTGCTCGTTAAATCATATTATTTAAATCTATTATAACGCCAATAATCCGTACCTGACATACTAATGGAAGTTGACGTTTGTACAAATATATAAAATGAATTTTAAAATCCTTGTGAAGTAATCATAAACATCTATTAACGAATGCGTCTTCAGCCGCGCTGAGAAAAGTAACACGTGTCACGTGACAGCGTCATGCGTCACCTCAGCAGCGCGCCAGAACCTTCACAATACGACGCAGATAGACGTACTGATGACAGACACTGGATAAAACGATTACAATCAGAATATTAATCATTCAGGCTGATCAGAAGCCGCATTTGCAGTCGTCAGTGCGGTTGTTGTAATGCGGCTCCGCGCCGCTGGGCGTCAGTCCGCGCGTCGCGTCTGCAGCTGTTCGGATCCCCTGCTCACTTTCTGTCCGTGATGGCGGAGCGCAGCGGCGACGGTCGTTCCGCGCAGTGAAGCTCGAGCCCGAACGCGTCCCGGTACCGGCCAGACCGAATGACAACCTAGTGAGTCGGTATGAGCCGAAGCTTCAGGATGAGATGAGAGCCGAACTGAGCCGAGCCGCGCTTCTGCTGCTGAGGTGAGTCCCGAACCGAGCCGAGCCGAGCCGAACCGAACCGAACCGGCAGCAGCGCAAATCGCTTTATTAAGAATGACAGCTGTAATAGACGCGTGTGATTTAAACATGAGGATTCGTCATGAGATCAGGTGTGTGTGTGTGTGTGTGTGTGTGTGTGTGTGTG